GGCCAGTCTAGCAATGGTGGCCCTAGCAGAAGTGGGGGAGATCGGGGCTCAACCAAACCTAAGACTCCCTCCACAAGCAGCAACAGTGTTGCGTCAAACAACAATGATCGGGGGAGAAAGCCTCCTTCAGGATGCCGTCATTGCGGCGNCGCCTGTACCGTATGCTGACATGTTACTGATGATGGGAACAAACGGGACCAAGCCCTGCATTATCCCGTGTATGCCCATGAAGATGGCCGTTGAAAACATCTCGGCCTTGCAGTTGAAGAAGGAGGTCAAAAGACATGAACCTACGTTCCCGGCAACTCTCTGCATTGAAGATGTAGAACGCTCCTTGGGTCCCATTCCTGAGCCCGTGAAGGAGCTACTACTAGAGTTTGAAGATGTCATGCCACAAGACATGCCAAAGTGACTACCGCCTAGACGCACTGTGGACCATGAAATTGAGCTGGTGCCGGGCGCGAAGCCACCCGCCCAGGCGCCTTACAGAATGTCACAACCCGAACTCACCGAGCTTCGGAGACAATTGACGGAAATGCTAGACACAGGGATCATCATGCCCTCCAAATCCCCATACGGGTCCCCTATGCTATTCCAAAAGAAACATGATGGTAGCCTACGACTCTGTGTGGACTACCGGGCTCTAAACAAAATTACTGTGAAGAACAAGTACCCTATTCCGCTAATGGCAGACTTGTTCGATAGACTGGGTGGTGCAACGATGTTCACCAAAATAGACCTAAAGACAGGTTATTGGCAAGTTCGGATTGCAGAGGGTGATGAACACAAGACAACCTGTGTGACAAGATATGGGTCGTACGACTGCCTGGTTATGCCATTCGGCTTGACTAACGCCCCAGCTACATTTTGCACTTTGATGAACCAAGTCTTCCGAGAGTACATTCATGAATTCGTGGTGGTCTACTTGGATGACATTGTGGTATATAGCCAAACATTGGAGGAACACCTGATGCACTTACGGAAGGTCCTAGCCTGATTGCGGGAGCACGAACTATATGCGAAGCTATCTAAGTGCTCATTTGCTCAAAAGAAAATTGACTTCCTCGGACATGTCATCGAGGAAGGGCGGATCAAGATGGACCAGCAGAAAATTCAGGCAATCACAGATTGGCCGCTGCCTAAGGATATCCACGCCTTGAGGGCGTTCCTTGGTCTATGCAATTTCTATCGGCGATTTGTGAAAAACTACTCCCTCATTGCAGTACCATTGACAGAACCCCTCAAGAAGGTCACACCTTGGGAATGGGGACCTAAGCGAGCGGAAGCCTTCAACGCATTGAAAGCGGCTATGTCTAGTAGCCCCGTCTTGGCCCTTCCTAATCTGGCCAAGCCATTTGAAGTACAAATAGATGCATCTGACTATGCCCTCGGCGAAGTCTTGCTACAAGAAGGGCATCTTGTAGCATACGAGAGTCGGAAGCTGAAAGATGCAGAGCGGCGCTATGCCGCCCATGAGAAAGAATTATTGGCTGTCGTCCACTGCTTGCTCCTCTGGAGGCACTATCTGCTAGGGACCCCGTTCGTTGTCAAGACAGACAACACAACTGTGAGCCATTTCATGACCCAGCCGAAGTTGAATGGTCGACAGGCTAGGTGGCAGGAACTCCTAGCTGAATTCCACTTCAACCTGGAGTACCGAAGTGGGAAGACCAATCATGTTGCTGATGCGCTCAGTAGGAGAGCTGATCTAGCATCGGTGTGCCTACTCGCCACCTAAGGGGGAGCGAAGTAGCCACCTCCATCAAGGACCAAATACAGGATTTACTCATCAAGGATCCCACTGCACAGTATTTGGTGGATTTGGTAAGACAGGGCAAGACTCGCCAGTTCTACATGGAAGATGGTTTCCTGAAAGTGAAAGGGAACCGACTTTATGTTCCTAAATGAGAAGACCTGCGAAGGACTCTTCTGGCAATGTCATGATACTCTATGAGCCGGCCATCCCGGTGAGGAACGCACCATGGCGTTACTTCGTCGTGCATATTATTGGCCTCAAATGAGCGATGACGTTGCTCAGTATGTGAAGACTTGTCTAGTATGCCAGAAAGACAAGTCGGACCGCTTAACACAAGCGGGACTCTTGGANATACACGTGAAAGATAACATGGACACAGAAAATCTAAGTTCTAAGGTAGCAAAATAGCTGCCAAAGGGATAAAAGTTTGGAAAGTTATCTAACAAGACGTTCAGCTCTGCAGAAACACACAATCCAATCTAGGAACTGCCGCCTGAAGAACAATGCCACTTTCTTCCAGTTACAGCATGCACATGACCTCATAATATTCAGTTGCTGATTACAAGAATTACTGTGCCAGATTTTGGAAATAAAGAAATTTACCAGAAAAGTTCTGTTTTCTCTTTCCTATTAAGAGACACCAATGCATTTTCATAATGCCAGAGTTTGGTAACTTCTCATTAAAATTTAGAACTCGAAATCAGATAAAACAGGAATATTATGAACCAGCAGAACAAACCAGAACATCAGTCATGAAGGTAAATATACGAATTAATTAAATCTACTTTAACATATCTGGCTTAGCATTACAAAATGCTAACCTCATAAGCCTTCAGAAAAGCTTCCCTTGATTCAAGCAAGCTTTGTAAAGTTCCTTCCAATTCCTTCTGCTTGTTTTCCAGCAAATTGTTCTCATTCTTTAAGCAAGTTACCTGTATTAATTTGTGATCTCTAACTTCCATTCTGAATGATACAAATTAATAAACATCTAGGTGAGCAGAGGCAAACCCAGGATATGAACTTCATGGGTTCGAGTTCGAAACTGTACCACAGCCTATTTGATTTACTTGATCCGAAATCTATTATTTGTGCTTATTTAGTGGATCTTTTAACAAAAATATAGACTCTGAGCCAAAGCTGATAGGTTGAACCCATTACTTCAACACTACATCCGCCCATGTAGGTGAGAGGCGGATCTAAAATTTAGAGTAGTTAAATGCTCTTCTTAATATATACACAATTACACACATAAATAGCTCTAAATTAATATATACCACACACACAGACGGATTTTTAAAATGCTTTTTTAATGAAAGTGAGGTGTATGCGTGTTTGCATGTACCTTGACTATTCCACTAGATACCTGTTACCTCCCACCAGCACAGGTACCGGATAACTCTATCCGAGGAAATCATATAGTGTTCTGCTGGAACTTCAATGTGAAACCTCATGATCCTCCTTCCATTTCAAAGACCACTAGGCCACACATACATAATTTGAGTTTTGAGATAATAAGTGCACGTGAACCCTCTGCTTATATGCTGGATCAGCCTCTGCGTTCGTGTAGCGTATGATGATAAGAGTCAAAGATGAGCAGTAAGTGTACTTTACCTTTCTTTCCAGCTTATGCCTAAGTTCATTAGAGAAACCTAACTCAGCACGCAATTCCGCCAATTTTTCATTGAATTCCTCCTCCGATTGCTTTTGCTTCTGTTATTCATACATCAAAAAACTTCTTCGGCAGTTAGATATTTTACATATAACATTCAAATACTTTCAAAGATGTGAGTGATTCGAGGGAACCTGGACCGAAATTTGGATTTGTTGAGACGCATTGCGTTCCTTTTCCTGCAATAAAAGTTCATAGAAACTGTTTTGAGCGGTAATGGAGAAAATTGATGATCAGTTATGGAGATGAGAGGTGATGATGAAAATGACGATTTTACTTTGAGTTCACGAACTTCAGAAATTAGGGCGTGGAGTTGGAGCTTGAATTTGGAGAGCTTCAGGAGCTCCATTTACCCCCCAAAATTCTCCTTAGATTCGAATCGGTTTCTGGAATGTGGTCCGTGGAAGCACCTGTGTATGAAATGTGGAACTCCTGTGTATTATGCAATAAGTTTAAAAGCAAAAAATTGGAACTATCATTATATTACTCGAATATTTTTGAGATTTTTAATAATATTTTCTTTCAAATTATTTCATGTGGCTAAATTTCATTACTTTTAAAACTGTGAATATTTTACGATTATCACTTGTAAAACTGGCTATTTCTTTTAATTCCACCCATTACTGTGGGAAAATTTCATAAAGGGAAACTTACACATATGTCCCAAATAAATCTAACACTTACCAAAACTAGCCAACAAAAATTGAAAAACCAAACCGGTTTTATTATCAGGAAAACGCTCTATCAATATGATTTGTTCTAGCTCCTCTACCGTTGACTTCGTTGCATCAGAATCATCGGGGGGTCATGAAGGTTCGAGGTATCATAAAATCTTCATCCTTGAAGATCTCTTGCTCCTCCGATGGGGCCGAGGCTAGTACATGTAGTTGCTATTTGACTTCTTATTTTCCCTATGGCTCCGATTACTTTGCTGACAAAAGTGCTGATATCGGTATCACCTCGTCAATTGCAAACATCTCTTTGGCGGCAGGTTGTTCACCGTATACCATTTTGACTCCTTCAGAAGTTGGGAACTTCAGAACTTGATGAAAGAAGGTACTACTCTCATGTTATGTATTCAAGGCCTTCCGAGTAGTGCGTTGTACTGCTCACATGGAACTTCAGAACTTGATGAAGCGTTGAAGGTACTACTCTCGATCACATGGAACTTTGTATCTTGGACGGTCCCGACCATATTTACTAGCAAAATGATCTCTCCTTTGGTGGTCTCACTCGCCATATTGAACCGTTAAGTACCCGAGCTGCGGGCACGATCTGATCTTGGAGGCCGAGTTGCTCTACGACTCTCGATCGACTGATGTTTGCCGAGCTACATGGATCAATCAACACACGTTTAACTTGAATTTTATTCATAAGGATAGATATTACCAGTGTGTTGTTGTGAGGTTGTTCAGCATCCTCGTCATTGAAAGACAAGGTTTCCTTTGGTAAATAGTCCTAGGTACGCTTCTCCCTTGTGATTGTCACTTTGGTGCATTTAAATATCGGGCCTTGAGGAATATCGACCCAACCAACGATCATATGAATCACGTGTTGCAGTTCTTCCTATTTGTTTTTCCTGTTTGCATCCCTGTCTCTGGAGTGATTTTTAGCTCGGTCACTCAAGAACTCTCGAAGATGACCCTCGTTAAATAAATGAGCTACCTCCTCACTTAACTGTCTGCAGTCTTCGGTTTTGTGACCATGGGTTCCATGGTATTTGCATATTTGATTAGGGTTCCTTTGAGCCGGATCAGACTGTAGGGGCCTAGGCCACCTGGTATCATCGATTCGTCCAATGGCTGATATAATACTTGATGCATCGATGCTGAAGTTGTATTCTGATAACCATGGCGCTTCTTTGGGCTCGACATGTTTATCGAAGCCACTCTTACTCATGAGTCCTTGGGGGCTTTGTCCTTGATCATTCATTCGATCATTCCGAATGGGATTACATCCCGGTCCGTTATTTCTATGATCTGCATTGTATGGTTGGTATCGATCTCTGTTTGATCGGGGCTCTTTGTCGATGTCTCTTTGAATTCTGCCATCGGATCTATTTGAGTAAATAGAACCGGAAGGGGCTCCTAACTGATCATCCTCGACTCTAATCTTTGACTGGTATCGATTATGTACATCGGCCCAGGTCACAACTGGATATTCAATCAAATTCTTCTTTAGTTGTCGCGATGTTATTGAATTTCGCTCGTTCAAACCTTAGGTGAAGGCTTGGACAACCCAATCATCGGTGACAGGGGGTAGGTCCATGCATTCCATCTAGAACCGAGATACGAATTCCTTTAGCATTTTATTGTACTTTTATCTCACTTTGAAGAGGTTTGACTTCCTATTCGCGACCTTTATTGCTCTGGCGTGTGCCTTTACGAACAAATCAGCAAGCATGGCGAAGAAATCAATAGAATTGGGCGGTAAATTATGGTTTCATATCATTTCCCCTTTCGATAAAGTTTCACCAAACATCTTCAATAGAACATATTCAATTTCATCATCTTCTAAGTCATTTCCTTTTATTGCGCATGTATAAAAAGTGACATGCTCATTAGGATCAGTGGTTCCATTGCACTTGAGAATTTCTGGCATGCACAACTTCTTTGGAATGGGCTTCGGAGCTGCACTTGGTGGGAAAGGCTTCGTACGAACTTCTTTGAATCTAAACCCTTTAGAATCGGGGGTGCCCCCGGTATTTGATCAACCCGTAAGTTGTATGTTTCTACTATTTTATCATTAGCCTCGATTTTCTTTTCTCCTGATTCGATCCATTTAGTGAGCTCCTGGAGCATCTTCATGATGGCGGGGTCAGTTCCCGATCCATTATCGTTCGATTTTTCCAGTATAGGTTCGACCTTGTGAATAACTTCCTGTGATGTATCGAGCTCAATTCTGCTTGCTGCTCGATTCTGGTTTTGGAGTTGCGCTATCGTAGCTTGCTGAGTCTGTAATATTTCAAATATCATTCGAAGGCTAATCCTACCTTCTTCACCGCTCTATGTGCTCTGGTCGGCTGCCTGGGGGTCTCTGCGGACGTTATTTTCAGGGTCGGCGCCTAAATTTCTATGAATGGCAACACGAGAACTAATATTGAGTGGATCTATGGCCGGTGGTCCATCAGAATTGACTGGATTTAATCCGTTTCCCGGGGCGACTATGTTCTCGTTCTCGCCATGAAGACCAAGACCGGTGTTTGTGTGAGTGGGCGCTGTTTGAGAGTTTGACATGTTGATTCCTGAAATCAAAGACACTTATAAGAACAAGCATAAAATCAGTGTGTGTCATGAGGATTAATACTAGGCAGTCACTATTATCCTTAGCCCCACAGTGGGCGCCAAATTATTTACCCTAAAATTTGGATAACAATTAAACTTATAGTATGGTTTTAAGGATACATGATCTCACCTAATACTAATTGATAAATGTAAAGATTAATGATGAGAGTTGACAATAAAATAAAGCAAACCGGTGTTCCAACGTAATTAAGCTCTCGAGCATGGATGCCCCCGAACAGGTTAATGCAAGAATAGTAAAAGATATCACAAGCTGATGAACAAGAATATAAGCTAGAAAGTGTTGCATTGCTTTGATATGCGTGAATATAAGATGGTTACAAAATGATTAAGGCCCTCTTTATATACCAGAGGAATCCTAGTTATGGTACAATTCTAATTACGGAAGCAAATCCCATGATTAACTAAATAACCGCCCTTGATTTGATCTGTTCCGGAATTTTTGCTGTGATCTTTGACTGGCTACGGATATCTCGCTTTTCCATTATTGCGCTTTGCTCAAAGTTTGTCATATTTGGTCTCGATTGTTGTTGGCTCCGATCTCGACAGACACCTCGATTTCCGAACTCGATACTTTGTCGTCGTGCTCTAGTCCGATCCATTACAAGGCTGACCCTCGATGCAATTCCCTGGCCTCGATCAGATAATGAAATTGGGTAGGCTCGATTTTAACCGTATACAAGCACATATGGCCATTCTAGGTTTCATTGAGAGCTTATATCTAGTTTCTTTAACATGCTATATCATTTGAAGATATGGTAATCTCATAAAAAGAAATTGATGATAAAAACAATAAAGACAAATGACAAAATGAGAAATAATGCATCTTTTTCTTCCTGAATTTACACATTTTGTTATGGCCAATATAATTCCTAACCCGATAATTTACAATTTCCAGCGAATTCAACTCAGTTCTTATCTAGACTTCGTTAATACTAAACCGGTCTTCTCTCTAACATCCCATTTTTTGTATATTAAAAAAGACATTAATTATTATATTCTACTTAACGAGAAATTCCAGTATTATTTGCTCATACATAACTAAAAACATTTAAAAAGTCTTATAATAAACTATTTTTTAACCGATAATATAATAAACTATTGAATTGCGTAAGAATATGGCAAAATTTCCAGTCTTTAGTGAGGCAACCTTGAAAAATGGAAAAATTTTGGGATGTTTGAGGAGAAAATCTTAGCTGGACATGCTTTTGGCCACTTTGGTTGCTATATAAAATAAGTTAAAAGCACAGTAAAAAATAGGCAAAATACTTAAGTTGCCATCTGAACTATGGACCAAATCGTTGTTATACACTTTCTGATGGCGAAAATCATTTTACATGCTCAACCTTTCTGAAGTCTGTCTATTACACACCACTTTTTTCTTGACCAATTTTCTAAAATATGTGTAATATCACGCACCAATAAGGTTATAACATGTGTTATTTTAAATAAGATATAAATAAAATACTTAAAATTACAATTATATCTGTGAGCACGTGATTTTTGCCCTACAAGAACTACTCCCAAAAATTCAAAATAAAATAGTTTTGTGTCGTTTGTGATTTATTTGTATTTGTCTGTGCATGTTTATTCTATTTTAATTAATGAAAAATACAAAAAAATATGTGTTGCATTTGCATTTACGATTTAGTTTTGCAATTTAGGATTAATTAAACAGTAATTTGTTTTACGAAAATAAAAAATCGAAAAATAACGTACTTCGCATTTTTAGTGTCTAATGTCAAAATTGTGTGATTATCTTTGTATTTAATTTTGTGTGATAATTATCATTGAGGGTTAATTAGTATTTTTCTAAGTTAATTTTGGCTTTACAATTTATTTTAGAATTTTTGGTAATTAGGAATTAAAAAAAATAAATGAAAAAGAAGAAACAAGAGAAGAAGAGTTAAAAATCGGACTGGGCTGGTTTTAAAAGAAAGGTTCAGGCCCAATGTCACACCCCAACCCAGGCCCAAACCGGCTGGTCCAAGAGACCATACCAAACGACGCCGTTTCATCACCAATCAATCTTGACCGTTCAATCATCCAATCCAACGGTCCAAGATTCCCCTTCCATAACCCGTCTCCAGCCCGACCCGCTTACCCCGAACCATACCCGCCCCAGTACT